GTGAGTGCATTCGTGCTATGGTAAGGGGGAAAAAAAAAAAAAAAACTAAAAAAGAAAAATTTGATAAAGTTAGCATCTGTCAAAATCTTTTATAGTTCCAGGGTAATTTGAAATGTTTACAGCTTGTGAAATAATATACCCATTTCTTTTTATTTTGTCATAAGCTCACACAGCAGCTTTCTTATTTGGGCTTTAACCTTTTCAATCCTGATTTATTTTATGAATTAAAAATAATTTTTCTTTTTGAGAGGTTTTTACTATGGGCCCACGGACTTGCCAGAAAGACAGAGAGAGACAGAGAGCAAGAAATCACCCCCAGCGGGGGATAGCCACACCACAATCCCTTCTCCATTCTCCTTTTGAGATCCTGGGCACGCATGCACAAGTGCCCGGTGTAAGTTTAAGCCACCGGGTCTGGTACTTGAATTGTGGTCGACTACACCAGAGTCCAGCGACATAGCTATTATGCCAACTGCTGGTCCCATTTCTTTTTTTAATTTTTAAATTTAACTTTATTTATTATTATTTTCCAGTTCGATCAAAGAGAGAAAGAGAGAGAGGGAAATTAAGAAAAACGGGCCACCAGGTCCAGGACTATAAAGACCCTCTGCCATGTGGGAGTCCAGCACGTTTAACCACCATGCCACCTGCCAGCCCATCAAACCTGATAGTCTTTTTTTTTTTTTTGGAGAGGTTTTCACTATAGGGCGTGTGTGCTTGCCAGACAGACAGAGAGAGACATAGAGACAGAAAGCGAGAAATCGTCCCCAGAAGGGATGGTCACGCCACAATCCCTTCTCCTCCATTCTCCTTGATCTTGGGCACGCATGCCTGCACACGCTCCCGGCGCGAGTTTTAAGCCACCGGGTCCGGGATGCGAACCTTGGTCGACTATGTGGGAGTCCAGCGACATAGCCATTACGCTAACTGCTGGTTCCCAAACCTGATAGTCTTAAAAGGTGGAGTTCAAAGTAAGTACAATTACAAACAAAAGAAAATAGCCTATTACAAAGGGTAAAAAGATAAAAGGATTACGTAAAATTTTCTGCCAGATAATGTTACTTAAGCATAAAAAGGTTAATTAAAATCGCAAAAATGACTCTTTTGAAAAAGAGATTAAGTCTTAAAATGAGCCTGTAGGTGCTGGCTGGTGTGGTGGTAAGGCACTGGACTCCCACAAGGCTGACCATGGTTCAAGTCCCAAACCTGGTGGCTTGCTTTCTCATTTTCTCTCTCTCTCTCCTTTTCTCTGGTCAAATTGAAAAAAAAAAAATATTAAAATTTCTTAAAAACATCCCATTAAAAATCAGTCTGCATAAGTGCCTGGAAAAGTATAAAATTTTACAAACAGATGTTATTAGTTTTCTTACTAATCTAATTTTCAAGTTCTTCTAAATTAAGAGAAAGCCAGAACAGTAATGTTTCAAAGTCCTTGAGTATAATCACACACACAAATGCAGAAAAAAGATAAAGAGCCAGGAGGTGATGTGATGGTTAAGACATTGGACCCCACATGACCACCTCCATGGTTCAAGTCCTGGACCCAGTGGCTTTAAAAACACCACGGGGATGTGCACCTGTGCACATGTGCCTAAAATCATGATAAGAAAATGGAAAAGAGATTGTGGCGTGGCCAGCTGACTTCCCCCAACTCCCTCCCATGAGTTTTCACTTTCTTTCTGTCTCTGGGAAGCGCCTGTGCTCTATGGCAAATATCTTTAATAAAAAACCACTGAAAGAAAAATATCCATCACAGAAGCTGTTACACAATTAAAAATCATTTTCTTTTGGTGTTGTCATAGTATTAAATATAGCTAACACTAAGTTTTATAGTTAACGCATACAAAGGTCTAATTTTGAGGCACCCTTCTGTCTCTGTTTAGGCCCACCATATTTCCTTGTTAATGTTTTCTCTTTTTTACTTTGCCACAATTGGGGGACAATGAATGAAACCTTAACTTTCCACTGCTTCTATCAACAGTGAATTTTTTTTTTCAACAGTGAATATTAAAAGCACCTTTCCGTTTTTCCTTCGTGTCCTTTCTCAGACACTGCACCATGTAAATAAATGAAAAATTAACAAGGTACGTTTTTCCTGTTCGAAACCAGCACCAGCCAAAGTGCAGTGAGGTACGAATGCGTACCATCCCCCAATCGTGTCTGAAAAACTTCAGAGGCAATTCTGATTTGCTGAAACGTGCATTTACATTCGTAAATAGAAAAGTTTAGCTATTACTTAGAAAGTTGTTTTGTTGCGGGGTGGGTGGGAGTAGGTGGTGCCTCAAATTACACCGAAAAATACTAACACGGAAAAACATCCAACCCTCTACCCAAACCCACCCAGTGGCAGTCCGTCATTCTTCGTATCTTCTCTGTCAATGTTTTCGGCAAAAGCAGTTTTTTCCTGCAGCGGATGAAGGCCGGCAAGCGCCCGGGGACACGTAGCCTTTTAACAACACCCAATTAAAGCATCAAAGAGAAAACTAGTCGGCATCAATCTACATAAACCGACCCGCCTCGCCCAGGCAGTCGTGGTCGGGGTGGAACCGCGAAACCTGTGCAGAGCTTGCAGCCCGTCTCCACGGCAACCGGCCGCAGGCGCCGGAGCCCGGATGTTGTGCGGATTCGCTGGCCGTAGGGCCCCGCTTCCTGGAACCTACCCCGGCGGGCCGTGCTCCTCCTCGGGAGTTGTAGTTCTTCTCCCCGCCGCCAGCGGGCCTGCAGCGCCGGCGGGACTACGAGTCCCAGCATGCACCGCTGCTCCCCGTCGCCCGCCGCCCCCTAGCTGCGGACGCCTGCGAGCAGGTTGTTGTTTTTATGAGAGGCGTCACTGGCGCCCGGAGCTGTGTGACAGCCAGCGCAGTCGGGCGGAGGTGGCGCTGCCCCTTCAGGTACGGTCCCGGGCATGTTCAGACTGGGTGACGGAGTTCGGAGCCGAATGTCAGGGCCCCGGCTGGCACTCCTGGCTCAGCCACCCGGATGGGTCCGCGGCGGGGTCTCCCTCCCAGGCGGGGGCTGCTCGGCGGGGACTTGACCCTGGCACGACCCCTGGCACCTGGCTTGTGCGACCGCTTGGGCGACCTCCTTCGACCGGGAGTCCACAGCGCGGTGGCCAGAGCCAGCCCCTGAGGCGCGGACCCAGTGGTCCCGCAGCCTTCGGACGCTCGCGTGCGGCCCGCCGTGCACCAGGAGCGGGAGGCCGAGCGCCCATGGGCCCTCCGTTCACGGCCGGCGGGAGCTTCTCGGTCCTGACCTGTAGGAATCCATATGGTGAGATGTTACGTGCGTCATCCTGCCGGCTTTTCTGCCTGCCCATCTTTTTTGGTGACGTGTGAGCCCTGTGATGCCAGGAATAGAAAGATTAAATATTAAATAATGCCGCTGAGCTTTCTGATCGTATGCTAGCCTGTGAGTGATGAAGTCCTCTCATCGCTTCTCCCTTCCCCGGGACCCCTCTGTGTCCGTCTTCCTAAGTGGGTTGTCCTCGGTGGCAGCTGTCCCACGCAGTGCCTTTGTAGTCGTTACATGTTTATTTGTGTTTAATGAATCCGACTCGTGGCCTTTGGGAGTGCCAATTTAAACGAACTAAGCCAATTAAGGTATTTGGTTGAATGATGAAATTTGTACTGTTCTGCTCTAACCTTCTTCAAAACCCAAACGGGACTTTCTTGGAGCTAGAATGGCTAAATACTTCAGTACTGCGAATTTTCGGAATTGTCTCTGCCAATTAGATCACTCTCCACAGGATAGCGCTTGTGCAGCTATGAACGCATCCTGTCTTCGGTTTGAGGTTTGCATGTTATTGAGCTCCACATTTCTAGTGAATAATTATCACACAGTCAGTGTGAAGAGTTTAGTATTATTTCTGAGCTCTAGTCTTAACAGGTAAAGGGACAAAGTGAGGCTATTATTATTATTTTGCTCATGTTTATTTATTCGCTATGCTAGAGAGAGACAAAGTAAGAAATCACCCCCTGAGGGGAAGGCTACAATCCCTTCTTCTCCCTTCTCATCTTTGGATTTGGGGAACCTGAAGGCTGGACGTGATTTTTCAAGGCACCATTCCCAGTCTTGAACCCTGTGGCTAACTTGTGGGATTCAGTGCCTTAACCTCCAGGCTACCATGCTGATCTGAGGTTATTATTGCTATATAAGGTTTTTGCTATAGGATGTGTGGGCCCAGCCAGTGAGAAGAGAGACAGAGACAAAGGAAAAGTGAGAAATCAATCCCCAGAGGGGATGGCCAAGTGCAATTCCTTTTTTCTGTTTGCCTCTTGGGATTGTGGGTGTACACGCAAATGTATCCAGTATGATTTTTCTCTTTAAAGAATTTTATCCATTACTATTTTTATTTCTTAATCTGTTATAGGACACATAAGCTCACCAGAGAGAGGAGAGAGAGAAAGTGAGAGAGAGAGAAAGAGAAAGAAAGTCACTAGGTCCGGGACTCCAACAGTGGTTAGCCATGTTGGAGTGAGTGTTCACTGCAACCACTGCCATCCACTCACCCTTCTCTCATTTGATTTTTTTGAAGCAAAAATGTCTGGAACTTCAACTGCAGTTGACCACGTAGGATCCAGTGCGTTAACCACCACACCACCTGTTGGCCTGTTCCCAAATGATATTTAAAGGAATAAGAAATAGACATTTTCAAATGAAAATAGATTAGGAAATAGTGCATTTCCAATATTGTAAAGTGTTGAACATAGAACAAGAAGTTTTAAGACTCAAAGGGTAGTCACATTCATAAAAGTGATTAGTGAAACTATAAATACCTTTTTCTCTGTATATTTCTCTTTTCCAATTTTTTGCAGGAGGTATTTTTTATTTTTTTAAAAATTTTTTGAGGCTGGGACCAGCAGTTAGCGTAATGGCTATGTCGCTGGACTCCCACGTAGTCGACCGTGGTTCGAGTCTCGGACCCAGTGGCTTAAACTCACACCGGGCGCGTGTGCATGCGTGCCCAAGATCCCGAGAGGAGAATGGAGAAGGGATTGTGGCGAGGCCATCCCCCCGGGAGGTGATTTCTTGCTTTCTGTCTCTGTCTGTCTGGCAAGCGCACGTGCCCTATAGCAAAAACCTCTCAAAAAAAAAAAAAAAAGATTTATTGGGGCCAGCAGATGGCATAGCATCTGGGCTCACATAGTTGGCTGTGGTTTAAGTTCTGGATCTGGTGGCTTGAAAATCATGCCAGTCACATGTACGTGTGTGCCCAAGACCCAAGGAGGAAAATGGAGGAAAAGGGATTGCGGTGTGGCTATCCCCTCTACCCCTGTGGGGATGGGTTGAGTTCTCACTTTCTGTCTCTGGCAAGTGACCATGCCCTGTAACAAAAATCTCTTAAAAAAAAAAAAAAGGTTTGTTAGTATTATTTTTTATATTTGCTATAGGGCACATGTTCTCACCACAGCAACAGAGGGAAAGTGAGAATGCAAGCCATCTGGTCCAGGACTCTTAACAACAGTCAGCCATGTGGGAGTCTAGCACCTTAACCACCATGCCACCTACTGGCCCTCAGAAAATAATTTTTTTTTTCTTTTTTTGGAGAGGTTTTTGCTATAGGGCGCATGTGCTCGCCAGACAGACAAGAGAGAGATAGAGAGATAGAAAGCGAGAAATCACCCCCCAGAGGGGATGGCCATGCCACAGTCCCTTCTCCTCCATTCTCCTCTTGGGATCTTGGGCACGCACGGACACATACCCGGCGTGAGTTTAAGCCACCGGGTCCGGGACTCGAACCGTGGTCAACTACGTGGGAGTCCAGTGACAGAGCCGTTATGCTAACTGCTGGTCCTAGAAAATAATTTAAGTTTGTTTTTTTTTTTAAAGAATTATTTTACTTTATTTATTTTAATTTGACCAGAGAGGGACAGAGAAAGTGAGAAGGCAGGCCTCCAGGTCGGGGACTCAAACCATAGTCAACCATGTGGGAGTCCAGCACCCTCAACTACTACGCCATCTGCTGGCCCTGAAATAATTTTTAAAAATAATTATGTATTTAATTTTATTATGGTGAATAATAAGGGCATGTGCACTTACCAGACATAGCCAAAGAGAGAGGGAAAGCAAGTCACCAGGTCTGAGATTCGAATTGTGGTCTGCCATGTGGGAGTCCAGGACCTCAACCACCATGCCACCTGCTGGTCCCTCAGGAAATAATGTTGAAAAAGAGATAAGCAATTTCTATTTTGAAATTTTAAAACATTTCTTCAAAAACGAATAGCAACTGCAAAAGACATAGGTAGGGTCTTTGTTGCTGCATCCACATACTGTATGAATTTATGTGTAAGTTATTTGGATAGAAGGTGTTACCAAACTCAAACCAGCTTCACTTGCCCAAGCCCTACAAATCAAACCATAGGCACAAGGTGTGATTGAGGAAAGTACAGCTTTATTGCAAAGTGAAAGCAAAGGAGAGTGGGTAGGTCATGCTGAAAAGAGCCAGTCTCCAGGAGGTGGTCCCCACTTATTTTTTTTAAGAGGGAGATTTTTTTCTTTATCTTGCTGTAGGGCCCTTGAACTTATCAGATGAACAGAGACAGAAAGGGAGAAATCACACACACCCCACCCCCTCCCTTGCCTTTTTTAAGGGCAAAATTAGGGGCAGAGGTCCTCCGCCCATGATTAGTTCAATGATTGATTTAAGAGGGCATGATTATCTTGTGCAGATTCTTGATCATTAAGGCCTCTGATAATGAGATTTCTGTTGATTTCTTGAGCTGTTCAGCCTGGGGCCTTTGAGCTCTTAGCCTGCACTTCCCACTCTGAAATGAAAACCTTACCTTTCCTTCAAGTGAGAGTTTTAGAAGTCTAATGGCCCTTATTCATGACCAATGTTGTTTCATTATCATAACCAAAATCTGAAGTCTTATCCTTTACTCTGGGCCATTACAAATGTAAATAGACTTTCTATTCCAAGCACCTTAGAAAATAACACTTTACTTTTAGTTCAGCCTCTGATTTTCAGTTTGGGGAAATTCTTATTTTTTCTTTAACAGAAGGGGAAACTGAGGACCTATCCCTCTTAGGGAGTCCTTGCTCATTTCAAAGGGACAAAAATTCCATTAGTTGGACTGGAGAAAATGTAAAAAACCAGGTGTAACCATTAGCATTTGTACATCTCGTATTTTGATCTATTTTCACCTTGAGTAAAATCAAAGAGGAAAGTGCATAGCCTTTCTTCATTTAAAGCTGAGCAATTTTGATGTAAATCCGTCAGGTGGCAAAAGATCAGAAATATTAACTGACTGAAAAGATGTTTATATAGCAGATAGAATTTTTTTTTTTTTGGAGAGATTTTCGCTATAGAGCGCGTGCACTCGCCAGACAGACAGAGACATAGAGACAGAAAGCGAGAAATCACCCCCCAGGGAGGATGGTCACACCGCAATCCCTTCTCCACTCTCCTCTCGGGATCTTGGGCACGCACGCACACCCACCCAGCGTGAGTTTTAAGCCACCGGGTCCGGGACACAAACCGCAGTCGACTACGTGGGAGTCCAGCGACATAGCCATTACGCCAGCTGCTGGTTCCCAACAGATAGAATTGTTAAGCAATTATTATAACCAGGCACTTAAAGCTTGTTAATATTGAATCGCTTTGAGTACTGTGTTTTATATGCCTAGTATTTTGGATTTTATTGTTTTATTTTCTATTGTTATGTTGGATATGGGCAGATAAGTAGCGTAATTCATTATTTAGCCCACATTATGTTTAATGTCCTAAAAGGAATGTCCACATTGCTCTCCCAAAGGAGTATTATACACTTTTGCTGTTATCTGCCTTAAAAAATTGGGATTTATTCGATACCAAATGTCCAGTAATGCTTGATATCTGTTCTGAAA